CATTCACACACTTCCTAAACAGCCTTGGGGTACTTCTTTAGAGTCGACAATTAGTCCTTAGTAGTATATAGGTTCGGTTCTGTTCTCAGCTGCTATGAGAACTGTCATTAAATCACTTGTTTCTGCTGAATTTTCGGCAATATATAAAGAACATTTAAAATAACTGAACTCTTTTTAGGTCAGTAGTGGGGCCATATTAATTGGTTATCAGATTTTAAAATTTCTAACTGTTTGTCGTAACTATCAGTGGTACAAAAACAATTCCAGCTCTGCGCTCACGGCTTCTGTTTGAGCTGGTGACACGTTGATAGTTCATAAATAGCAAATACCATATAAATCGGATTAAATACATACTTATATACAAATTTCTCATTTAAACAATGCTTATCAAAATTAAGTAGCAACCGCGCTTAGTAGCCGAAAAATCGAACATATTGCGCTCAAGTAACTAATAAAAATACATACATATACATATAGTATGTATGTATATATAGTACTTAGTGCTCAATTGACATCATTCGCTGTATGACGATTGATTTTCGTTAATAAAAATTGTATAAATTTTACTTTATGTTCCTAGTTAGTAACATTGATGACATAAATTCATATTTCTATAGTAATTTTTGCCAATTGTTATTGTCACCAGCAGCAGTTGCTATCAGCATCGAATAGATAAAGTATACTACAATGTTTTTGCGCAAAGTCCAAGGCTATTTTGGGTCGAAATCACTCATTGCCAAATGTAATTTTTTTTGCTTTATTACTGCCTTTTTATAAATGTGTCCTCGCTTAAAGTACATTATTATCGATTCATGGACTTACGCTGTTATGAAATTATAAGACGGCGGCATTTTCTCTTCCAAATAGCCAAATTTTATATTAATACGTGATTATATGGTAAACAAGAGGCTTACCAGTGGCTTGCAAACTGTTCAGTTTCTATGCGCCGTAAATAAAAATAACCGTTTGTAAGTTTTATTTTAAATGTATAAATCAAAAAATTAAAATTGTTAAATATATAAATATTAGGTCATATTTTGTAATAGCGTTTTTATGTTGAAATAAAATTTTTTCCCCATATCCATGTATTTACAAATAATTTGACTTGTATATTGTCTAACACCGCTTTTGCTTCAAATTAGTTTTCTTTCTTCAAGTTCACCCAATTTGTAATTACACATTAGGCGCCTAGAATGAGCTAATATAATACAAATATCTAACCAGTAATTACTTTTCTCATTAGTTTTGCGATTACCTCATTGCATTTCTGTCAAATATAGAATACAAAATTTAGACAGTTATTTAATTTTTCGCTTAAAATAAAAATACTATTTCAAAGCCGTCTACAGCACTGCAAATGAGGTAGCCTGTTGGAAAGAAAATTTCTCTTCTCTTCTTATTTCTTTCCAAAATAGATGCAAATTAAAACTTGCATAAATTAGCCGCGGTGCGTTTCTAAAGGGGTTTCCAAATATATCTTATTTTCAATTCCAGAATATTTTAGGAGGGGGTATTTAAAGAGCATATGTTTGTCACTCTTTAATATTTTACTAAGTTTTGGTTATTTTATTTTTTGTTAAGTGCATAAATAGAGTTGTCGTATAAAAATATTTTGAATTTTAATTTTCATGAACAGTTTTCGTAAGATTTTGAATTTGATAGTTATTTTTCAATATTTTGCGCCACTCTAATTCATTCGATATTTCGCAACACTGTTCCAAAATTTGTAAAAAATAAAATTTTATGAAAGATTTCTATTTAATATGCATGTGGAACAACTTTCAATTGCCTTTGTTGGGTTCAAAATCGAGTAACCTCCTTTAGACACATTTCTCGAAAAGTGTTGAAAGTCTTATATTCCAAATTTGTCGACAAAAATTGTAGAGAGATTTTATGTACATTATTTCAATAAATAAATACAATATTGTAACACTACGTTACATAATTGCATGCAAGCAGAACTATGAATCGGATTATCGATTATTTGAATTGCTCGATCAATCTCTGTAATAGCAGAAACAGTCAAAAACGCAGAATCGTGGATCGTGCCAGCTGATTCGACCTATTTTATGGGCGCGCAATGTAAGTGCCCAGTGAAAAACGCTACTCCCTTCTCCTTTGACGTCGGATGACGTGAGAATCTGCAGCATTTTGGTTTTTGCCGTGGAAACGTATCAGCTGAGTGCTCTCTCACAACCCAGGGTTGCCAATATCTATATACTGTAGTAATTATCAACTTTTATAATTCAATATGTTCAATATGTTTCAAATTTTCTTAAAATAACTCAAAATTGGAGTCGAATGCTATTATTTATAAATATATAAACTATTTTTTAATAGTTTGTTTTCAGTTTTGATATTTTATACTATAAAAAATTGTAATTGAAAACATAGATGTCTACAAAACTATATATGCGTATTGAGCAATGGCAACATTGTGCAAATGAAAACAAACAAAGATGGCTSATTTCTGCGTTTTTGCCACGTTTTTCACTGGGCACACATTTTATCGATGAGGAAGGAAAAGGGAGGAAGGCAGTAGCGTTTTTGACTGTTCCTGCTATAACTGCTACGAACTTAAATTCATTTGTTTGGTCAACTTTTGCAAACAGCTGTTCAATATCTTATTATTATTTACATTCTTTTTGTATCGTGAGTAACACTTGTTGACTACGCTATAAAGAAAGTTTGTGTAAAGAATTTCTATGAACAGTGTTATCAATAAAGCAAAGTAAATATTTTCAATTAAAAGGAAATAATATGAATTTGGTCTTTAGCGCGCTTGACAACTTTAATCCTGCGAATAAGATGAATATAAATATTTAAGACTGTTAAATTGTGTTTTTTTTTAATAATTTTTGCTACCTAAGCGCATTGTGAAATGCAAGGAAATAATTCAAATAATGGATGGCACTTGAATACGTAGAAAATGTTTTTTTTTTTTTCAAGTACTTGACTTGAAAATGATAACTATTTTTGGTATCATATGTAGGCATAATTATATCTATAAACAATTAAACAAATGAAGTTATAGAACACTGCTTGGAAGCAAGTTTACTATCAAAATCACTTCCACTTTTGTTTACAACTATTTCAGCTGAAAATAAGTCGTGAAATAATTCTTTGTCACTCGAGTTTTGTTTTATAACATGTTCAACTGCATTGTAGCTACCACTTAGAAATTTTTGCTATCAACATTTTAGTGTAAATATACGTTAACTTTAATCAATAAATCGGCGGCAATTATTTGCCTCCTTTTCACGTGTTTCGTCGCATGTGAAAATTATTTAAAGCAAAATGAAATCAAATTTTATGATATTTGTAAAGATAAACACTACACGATTTGCTGCAAATAACCGTTATCAGCGGCATTATGTAAAAATTAATATTATTTAGCTACATATCTACATTATTTGTGTGTTTATAATGAGTATGCGCTGCATTTCTTACATTTTTTAGGTTTTTACGTATTTATTTTATATCTTACTGTTTAACAGTTCTATGTACACAAATAAGCTAAATATAATATTTAATCGAATTTTTTGCACTGCGCTCAGGTCTTGCCCGTTTTTAATGGCACCAACGCCGAGAAAAATCATTAAACAAATTTATATGTAACTAAATACTCATACCTCACGTGCACACGAAGCTATATGTATATTCATATATGTATGTATGTATGTAAAATCGTTCATTATACCGAATGGGCGTATTTTTTTCTTAAAGCTTTCACATAGGACAGCACCAAATGGCACAGTTAAAATTTTTTTTTTGCACCAAGCGTTATCAAAATAAAATAAAAGTCTCATACTTATTTTATTAAATTAAAAATTATGGAAGAGGTTTTATTGCTATAAACTGAGTTATTTTTCATTATTAAAAAAAAGGTATGAATAAAATTTAGGCTTTCGATTTTTTTTTTTTGTTTTGTTAAGTTTTTTAAACAATTCAATTCAATTTTTTAATTTTCTTCAAATAATAAATTTTTACACCTTTTAACTATTTTTAGTTATTTTCGCTGTTTTCAATTTATATTTTTTTCTTTATTGTTCTTTTATTTTTTTACATTTATATTACCTTAAACAAAAAATGCAAAAAATTTAAAATTTTTGTTTTTTATTTATTTTCAACATTAAAAGAAAAAAATATAATTAATTATGCAATTTTAATTTTTTTTAATATTACAGCTTTCAAATAATATTTAACCTCGTATTAACTATTTTTTAGCTGTTTACAATTAATTTTTTTTTTAAATATTTTTGAATGTAAATTTTTTTTATTTGGAAATATTTTTCAAGTTTTTTAAAATTATTTTCGAAAGTTCATAATTACATGATTTACAGTAAGTTTAAAATATGTATTAATAAAGTTTAAACTACAGTATAGCTTAAAAATTTTGGTTACTAATTTCCGTTTTTTATTATATAATTATATTACATTAATTTAAAWAAAAAAAAAAAAGCAAAATAAATTAACGTTTTTTCATTTAAAAAGATTTTCCATATTTTTAATTATCTATTTGTTTTAAGTAAGTTTTTCAGTTGTAACTACTTTATATAGTCTACAATTATAATTATTATATAATAATTCACCTTATCCAACACAGAATTACCTTTCACCTTTTAAGTAAAATTTATTTGTGCTGTAATTTTGTAATTTCACCGTCACCAGCAAATGAATCGTAGTACCTATATTCACATATACATATGTATATGCAATATATCACGCAGTATTTATTAGCCCACGACTTCTTACACCGTTATATTTGTGATATTCGTAAACTTACAGCAAATTGCTTCACATAATTAATTAAACTGAATTCAATTGATTTGGTTTGGTTTGATTGATTGATTGACGATGTAATTGTAACTGCATATTTGTTTTGCTAGGTTATGCTTACTACTTTCTTCCTCAAACCCCACAAACACACTTACTATGCTACGCTTTACAATAACAATTGAGAATTTACTAATTGCTTTTCTTTAATTTTTTCGGTACAGGTGTTGTCTATGAGTACAGATGATTATCGCAAGGCTTCATTGTTTGCAACCGGTTCCTTTGACTTGGACTTTCCCATACCAGATTTAATTGGCACAACAGAAATTCTCACAGAAGAGCATCGGTAAGTGGTTGTAGAATTTTCGTCTGACACAATTTAAGCTATGAACAGAAGAATTTATGAAAAAAATGCGCCAATATGTGGTTCTTGGAGTAAATTTTGAGTTTTAGTTAAGTTTTGGTCATAATTCTTTCAGATTAATTACCTCGATTTTAGTTTAGTAAAGAAAAATAGTTTAGTTAATTTTTTAAAGCATTATTGAAAATGTTTGACTCAATATATTACTCATTTATTAAATATTTTTATAATTTCTGAAGCCGATTTCTACTTTATACCTACATATAAGCGTACATAACCATACCTACATATGTATGTGGGCATATGATAATAGAATTTTGAATTATCTAACTCATTTGATAATTCAAAGATTTAATATTCAAAATAATCAATGAACGGCGCAGGCTTCTTCACTTGCAAAAAAATTTTTTGTGACGAAAATCTGCAAACAACGCACATACATATCTAAATATGTACATACAGGCATGTCTTTATTAAAAACCCACACGATGTACATAATGATTCAAGTATTATTTATAAACAATATATAAATGTGTATATGCTAATAAAAATGCTTAAAACGTTTTTCAGTCGTTTTCAAACTCAATGTCATTAACAAAATGTAATTAAGAGTGTTTTAAGGCACAGAAAACGGTGCCATTTGGTATCATGACACAACGTTTAAGTAATTTGAAATTTATTTTAATTGTTGTTGTTGTTTCTTTTCGCCCGTTTAGTGAAAAACTTTGTGGACACCTACCCGCACGCGCCGAAGGCTATTCGTGGTCATTGATATTCAGCACCTCCCAGCATGGCTTCTCGCTGAATTCGCTCTACCGAAAGATGCAGAAACTCGAAAGTCCCATACTAATTGTCATACAAGATACAGATAATAATGTGAGTACAAATTTGCTTTATATTTTCAGGCCTCAAAATAATATACTCAAAATTAAATTTGCTTTTTTTAGGTTTTTGGCGCCTTAACGTCCTGCTCCCTGCACGTGTCCGATCACTTCTACGGCACCGGCGAATCGCTATTATACAAATTTAATCCCAGCTTTAAAGTGTTCCATTGGACCGGCGAGAATTTATATTTCATTAAGGGCAATATGGAGAGCTTGTCGATCGGTGCTGGAGAGTAAGTTCATCAATCACATTTTTATTTAGTTATTTCAAATAACTTTCATACGTAAATTTACGTTTTGCGTCACTTTTTTGAATTATAGAATTTCTCTTCAAAGAAAAATAATAATAATTCAAAATTTGACGCATTAATGCTCAGTAAAAAGCGAAGTAATTAATGATAATGTTCTTAGCTCGGATTTCTTCTTCCACTTTACTGGCGGTTATAGGCGGGTTTTAGCTAGGGTTTAAAAAACTGTGTTATTTTTTTCTTATATATATATTTTGTTCTATTAGGGTTTAGTGCATTATAGTTTTCTAATTGTAAATAAATGTGTATTTAGTTCCTCAGAACAGTTTTAAGGAATACTATATTATTGTAATTATTTAATTCATATGTATTTCATTTTCACCTAAAAATACGACATTTTTTGGGCACTTAGCCTAGACCAGTCAAATACGTATTAGAAAGGTGTAGACAAAACGCAGCAACAGAATCATTATTTTTCAAACTTTAAACCAATGCTTTTTATTGCTTTAAAAAATGTAAAAAATACATGAACAGCATTCTTTTTTAACCGTTTTTTGAATTCATAAAAATATATCTTTCAATTAAAACAGAAAATTATATTTGTTTACGTTTATAATTATGTATAAATGTATGAAATTTATTTAACTATATTTATACTTTTATTTTAAATTTAGTTTAAAACACAAATTTCTTTCTTAAAATATATAAATGATTTTCAACTCCAATCGTTTCTTGAATATTGGAAATAAAATGACTGTACAGTTTTTTAAACTCATTGTTTGTTGTAATAGTCAAAATATTTGTGAAATAATATTTTAAGTTCTTGGCCGACCTTAAATCTGATTATCGCAAACACTTCTTGCGAAAAAATATGTTTTAAGCCGAAAATACTCGGTTTGGTTTGATGCCTTAACTCTTTGCAGCAAATAATTTTTTTTTTCGCAAATCCTACATTTTTGAAGTTTTAAATAATTTTTTATATTTCTTAAATATGTATATGTTTTAGTCTCTCTCTCTCTCTCTACTAATAACTAATTACGTTTTCTCACTCTTTTTTCAGCGGTCGCTTTGGTCTATGGCTGGATGGTGACCTCAACCAAGGGCGATCACAATCCTGCAGCACATACGGCAATGAGCCACTAGCACCGCAAGAAGACTTCGTTATCAAAACACTCGAATGCTGGGCATTTGTTTAAGATTTTTTAGTGACAGTATACAAAAAATTATTACTAAAACTAAACTATTTTGTAATTAGTGGAGAAAAGAATACTATCAAAGAAAACAAGAGAGCAAACATATTTAACTTTGTGTAACAACCAATTTAGGAAGAACAACAAATGCAAGCGAAGCGAGACTTCTCAAAGCCCCGTAAAGTTGAAGTGTTGAAAACAACAACAACAAGAAAGTGGTGGCGCGACCAGCGGCAACCTGTGTTACGCTGCGACGAAAGCAGAAACAACACGTCTGCAACAATAAGAGCTAAAACAAAAGCAAAGTAAATTTATAATTAAAAACATATTAAATTAAGTTAATCATATTATAAAAATTAAACATTAAGCGCTATTAAGCAAATCATTTAGAACGAAAGGCAAGAATTGTTATTATTATTTTTATACATACGGCTGATGAATATTCATGCGCGCGCAGCACATTTTGAAAACACACATGCAACTCGACGTCAAATGTCAGTCTGAAAAGTGTCATTTGAGTAAAAAAAAAAAAACAACACAAAAAACAGCAAATGCGCCAGAGTAGTGAAACAGGCATATAAACTACACACACATATATATTTACATACATACAACCATTAGCGCTAAGCATGATTTCGTGCGAATGCTCTACATACACACTCACACAAATGCTGTGTCATTGCTTTATTTAAGTTATTATGTAATAATGCTACAACAAAAATGTAAAAGTCGACTTTTCGAAAGGCACTTAAGTTGCAACATTTCGTGAGAAAGCCTCCTGAAAGTAACTAAACTGCGTGACAAAGCTAGTCAGAAACTATTTCACTAGCACAGCATATGGTTTAGCGCTACTTTTGGAGGCAGCAGCTCCTAGTTCAATTATTCATTAGAAAAGTACGGCTATTTAATTAAAAAATGTATTTAAACGTAATATTGTTGCATACTTTGTAGCGCAGTAGATTTTGTAGAATTGTGCGTTCAAAAATAGTAATTGAAAAAAAAAAAGAAACTTTGTGGAATAAAAGTGGGAAAAGCGCCTATAAAAAATGGCTTATTACGAAACAAAAACAACTTTTTCTCTTATTTTATATTAGCATAATGATTGAGTAAATTGAGGTAAAAAAATTGCTGGGTTTTGAAAGGTATACAAAACATAAAATGTTACAGTTAGTACCGTAAAAAATCAGTAATATGCATATATTAATTTGATAGAAATATATGTATTTATTATGGTTAAAAAAAGTAGTTATCTAACTTAACGTAACTTAATGTGACATAACGTGACGTGACTTGGCGTAACGTAAACAAAAATTATCGTAACGTAACGCAACCTAATGTGACATAATGTAATGTAACGGCGTAACGTAACCTACCGTAACGTAAATAATTTAGCAATTGTAAAAATTTAAAGTTATAAATTTATTTAAAAATGCTTACATACAAACATATGTGTTGCATTTACAACATCGCCCATCATGCTGTTGCTTTCGTGTCACAGGCCATATGCTATAAATATACCAACAAATATACACACCTACAAAACATTTATCGCCACCAACCACACCACTTTTGTAGCGCTTTGAGAAGCAAGCACTGGCTTAATGCCTTGATTTTTGTTGACAATTTAAGAATTTCATAAATTTCATTTTAAATGTTGTAATAGCAAAAAAAAATTATTTTTAATTGAAAAAAAAATGAAAAATATATACACACACATAAATATTGTGAGCTAGCTAGCTGTTAAAAACGCATTGATTGCGTCATAATTACACTTAAGTTTTTAATAGAATGAGTAATTTACACTTAATTAAATAATTAAACTAATTCTTATTATTATGACCATAACTGTAGCGTTTATTTTATTGTTATTAACGTGCAACTATTGAGCATTGAAGTCGCGTATTTTTGTTTGTTTATTTTTTAATTCAGAAAACTAATTTATAGTGCTTTAACAGGATGGTAATTTTTCATGCATAATTGTTCTAAAGTAATTGAAAATATTAACTTTAAAATTATGAATATTTTAATATAATTATATAAAAAAAAAGTGTTGAAAACAAACAAATAAAACGCTAAAAGCAAATCAAGTGTTTATACATACATATATACATAAATATGTGGCAATTATTATGTGAACGAGCGTAGAGAAAATTTTCAAAAATACATTATTTACAAACAAAAACAATTACAAACAAATAAACACAATCTCTTTCATTTCGTTCTCTTTGGTTGTTAGAATTTCAATTCAATTTCGGTTAGTATGTTGGGGGAAAAGCAAGAAACTAGGTTGGGACAAAAATTTTAATTTTTTCCATAAATAAAATTAAACGTATATTTTAGCCCACCCTAATACAAACAGATATGATTTAAGGGGTTAGGGGTAGTCAGAATTTTCAAAAAAATATTTTTTTTTGCATTTTCTATAAGTGTAATATTTTCTGAAAATTTCACGTTGATCCGATAATTAGTTTTTGAGTTATTCGACTAACATAGGGAGCTCGGGCATTTCAAAGCACTAGTGTGAAACTTTAAACGTGTTTTTCTCAAAACTGTGTTTTTGAACCGGTGACAACTGGAACTCGAAAACCGCTCAGTAGATTTTAATGAAATTTATACAGCTTTTAGAATACATAATAAACTTGGGCCTGACCGAAGGATTTTTATTTTTTCAAAAATTTCGATTTTTTAAGACCAATTAACTGTTGATTTTTTCCCAAAAGTTTAGAAAGAAATCTCCTGAGGCCGCCATTTTGTTAATTTTTGAAAAAAAAACTTCGATCAGGCCCAGGATTATCTATTTATAAAACAGATTTTTTTTGTCCCATTGATTTTAGATGAAACTCCAAGGACGTATGGTTGTCATCGCAAGTACCTTTTTTTGGAACTGGGTCAACACAAACAACTATAACTTTGGAAATAAAATTTTTTTTTCGAAATTTTCGTGACTTCAAGTCAACACATTCTATAATAATAATTCCATATTAATACTTTAGTAAAGTAACACGTTTTAATAGCAAAAACAAAATACTGAAAATTCTCATTTTTTCGTCCCTCTGACTACCCCTAACCCCTTAAAGTATATATTGTGAAGAATCTCGACTAGAAGCAGCAGACAGCCTACAACACAGAAAATACAATACAACAGAATTCAGTATTTGTACTCTAAAACCATAGCTTGGTTTTCAGCAGCCATTCAGCTTAAGAATAGTAAACAGAGTAAAGTGCCAACCAGCCGAAGCCCCTAAAATCCTCATTTGAAGTCGTGCTATTAGAGACTTGAAAATCAACGCTTATTCAGCTTCCTGTTCAGCTGAATATTGTGCTGAATGTGCTACAAATCCATCTTATTCACCAATTCAAGTGTCACATTGCAAAAGTATATTTTTTATTATCTTCCATGGTTAAATATTTGTATCTGAATCAGTCAACTGCGTAATCGCTGTATGCAGAATGTGCACTGTAATGCAATAATAAAAAATGAGCAGTTGTGATTTAGCTCTTTGATACCGTAGCTCAACTATTTTGAATTTTGTGATTGTCAAAAATTACAAATATTTGAAATGTGGCTTTTGATCACTTTCTGGGTAATCTCATGTTTATAGATATTCTGGAGACCCATTGATTTATTACAAATCACTTAAAGCACACTTCCGAGTAAGACAGCTGTTACACAAGCAGTAACAATAAACAATATAAAAACCTCAGCTGAACCATCGTTCGCATTAAGAACTCGTCCACTAAATAACGGATTTCTGTGACGACTTAAATATGGCTCTCAATATATATGTTCTTAGTTTGCCGTCCTTCAAGAGGGGATTCCTGCCTTCGTCTATTATCAAGTTAAAAAAAGTATACAAATTTGCTTGTTTAAGCTTTACAGACTGCTGAACTGTTCAGTCTTATTTCTTCCCACGAATATCAGTTAATATATTAGCATACTTTTAGGCGCTCTGATCACTGATCACAGTGAAATATACGGATTTTGAGTCAGAAATTATTCTAATTATAATTATTTGAACACCCAGGGTACATTCGATACGGAAATTATCGAAAAAAAAATTCAGAAAAATTTGGATACAAACGAAATGCAGTTATAGTTACTAATTTTAAAATAAATTTTTATTGGCTCAACCTTCCAATCTAAATAAAAATTATGTCTACACTTTTCTTATGTTCTAATGCGTGCTGTCTCCTTTCATGATGGTTTGTTGGGTTCTTTCCAAGTTTTTTTTGGTACTTTGAAACTGCTTTGTTCAATTCAAATTCCAAAATCCTTTTATTCATATATTTTTCATGGATTTTTAGTTATTTTGCAATATTTTTTTATCTCCGAAGAAAACAATTTTTAAAGAGGTAAAGGAAGGTGAATGAGGTTAAGCAATGAAGCAAATGTCTCTTAGTTGAGCACAAAATCACTTGCCATGATTAGTATTGTTGATTTAGATTTTGCATGGCCAATATCCGCTTAACCCATACCGAAATGTAGTGATCAGCTAGGTAGCTAGTTAGGGTGGACGTCTGGCGACGCACATAGAATTTTATGATACCCATTGTGAAACCACCGGCACTAAAATCCCCTCGCTCTATTAGGTTTTCTCAAAACCATTCTAAGCTGCAAATGAAGTTCATCAGTACAAAAGTTTTTATATGTGGAACTTCCGAGACAGTGTCAAGAAGCCCTCGACCGATAATTGCGCTTCTATTTCTATACAAAGCCTTGCATTCGCACGGGAGCTGCTCTATAGCCCCATCTACATCTATCACTTGGTAGTTTCTACAATAGTCGTTGTATGGTATCCGCAGTCTGCCCATAAGACAGGATATGTCTGTCATATACCTGAATATATATAGTTTTAAAAAAAGTTCTGCTTGGTTTTGGACAAGCTTGAAAGGCTTCAGGTGAAAGAGCAATTATTGCACTTGGGCCTTTTAAAAATAACTGCAACAACAATTATCTTTTAATAATGTACATATATTTTAGGTATGTTACCTGAATTGAGTCAATTTACGTGTGTTTTGGATTTCTTCAATTCTTTTTAAGTACCACAAAAGACACTAGGTCCAGGTTAACTACTTTTGGGCAGCTTTTGCTCACCTTTTAACGTTAACATTACCTCTTTTAGATATCTACGTGATATAGCGTGACATGTTGGCCCATTAAGCTTAAATAAACCCAAACAATTTTCTAATTGGCTGTATGAAAACTTACAGAGTGGCTGCATTTATATGTTTGCTTCTATGTTTTATATACTTTTGATTTTAGAAATAATAATTTCCTACCCAAACTTGCCACACACAATACAACAAAATAGCAGCAGAAAAACTCAAAAACTCAATACAATACGCACACGAGTTTCAAAATTTTTTGGAATAAACAAAATCAAATCAAATAAACTCAATTTAAAAAGTGATTTATGACGAAAAAACTCAGAAATGATATTTAAATAAAAGAAAAACTTAAGTAAGCGCTTCGCACAGTTCCCAAACGTGTAGTAGAAATAAGAAAAAAATAAATTAAAGCACCTTCTTATTGCTGTATTGCCGTATTGCCGTATCGTTGCAATTTCATGATATCATATCATGTATTATGTATGTAGCCGTGTTGGTGTATGATCTACTTGTGTATGCAGAAAATGTTGTTGCTTGCGCAAATATTACTCATATCAAAAGAGTTAGCAAAACCTAAGAAAAACGTATACAAAACCATATGCGCATTAAATAACAAAAAAAAAACCGAAGAATAAGAATAATTATGTAGTATGTATGTATATGATGGTATTCCTGTAGTTTTGTAGTTTTTTGCACGCTCCAAAAAAAACTGAAAACAATTAAATAAATAATATAAATAAAAAATCATATGTACACTATATGTATTACATACCCTCATAATTAGTAAATAGTACGTTGTTGGTGCATTTACGTTTTCTCCTAAAAGAAAAAAAGCGAAAACCGCAAAACCTTTCAGCTTTAAAATGAACTTATAACGGTACACTTGTTGAGCTGAAATTTTGAAAAACAAAATGTTAACGGTATAAAAAAAACCAGCGCATGACGCGTAAAAAGCTTAAGCTATGAAACCTCACAATCTTATAAAGCGAGCATTTGTGGAAAGTAGTTTTTAAGCAAACGCAAATGATAAAAAAAAGACTTTTGAAATAAATTGAAACAAAGAACATTGTAATCGGCTGCAATCAACCCACTGCGCACCTTCCCTATATGCCCAGAACGAACTGTGTCGATCACGCCAAAAAGCTTTATTTTCGGGATGGCAGGAATCTCAGAATATCCCCTAAGATTTTTTACCACGTTTTTTAAGAAACTCTAGAACTGATGATTTCAAAACCTATACCATTGTTGCTTCATGTATATGATTAATTAAGAAATTGTGTGCATATAATATTAGGTATATATTTGTAATTAAATCAAGTTTCTGCAACGCCGACATTGATTTTTAAGTATTCGCTTTTGATCCTACCGTAAGGCATTGTTGGCAACGTAACATCTTACAATTTAAAATGAGAAGAATGTCGAACTGTCACTCTAGTGGGAAACATATTTCATTTAATTTCTTTATAGTATTTAAATCATTATCTGCCTATATTGGTCGTAAAGTGCATACTCGGTTGAGGCCGCATCGTCTCGACAACGTTTACAATATTCAAGTAACAAAGAAAATCTGAAACTGTTGCCACATTTTGCACTTTTCGTCTATTCCGCATATGTGCCTAAAGACTTTTTTCTATAACTTCTAAACTCTTTTAGCAAAATCAAGATTTAGGTTTATACACCCGAACTGAGGATATCAATATTCTATATTTTATGGAAATTAGAACTGTATGTCGAGAATTCATGAGTTCGTACAATTTCACAACAGAATCCACCTTCATATTCGAACGAATTTTTTTTTTCAGACCTAGACTGATTATATAGTCATCAAGCCGAAAAAATAGAAATGATGCATAACATTTGTCATCATTGGGTCCCTTCAGCTAAGTTAACTTTGGAACTGAGCTGAAATCTGGGCTATCCTTCAGCGAAAGATTTTAGGAAAGTATGGATGAAACATAATTTTCAGATCTGCAAAGAACATGTAACAATCAATTTTTTTTTTTAATAATACATATGTAGCTACAACATATTTGGTCCAGCTGCCAGTTGAAAAAATCTCATTTTAACCAACTTTGTTAAGCTAGTGTGGAA